TTCGCCGAGAGCCAAGGAAGATAACCTAAAGACCAATATTTGTACATCATTTATTAACCAAAGATCAACCTTTACTAATGTGTTTTTCAAATCCAAACTTGTGCTTGTTACATTAGTTAATGCACTATTAGTTAACACGAACTATCAATGAAAAACTTTATTTTCATTAACTAATGTTAACAATGATTAATAAATGCTGTAATAAATGTAATGTTCATTGTTTGCTCATGTTACTAAATATAATAACTACCAATAATTGTTCATTTATTCATTCATACGCTATGGCCAATTTAGCTTATTCTATTCACCTACAGCGCATATCTTTGGACTACGGGGGAAATTGAAGCACCCAGTGGAAACCCACTCCAACACGGGGAGAACATGCAAACTCCACACAGAAATCCCAACTGACCCAGCCAGGAACCTTCTAGCTGTGAGGCAACAGTGCTAACCACTGAGCCACCGTGTGGCTCTAACAGTAATTAATGAAATCTGATTGTAGAGTATTTTGGAAAATAATTCACCTTGGGTTTACATTATTTTCTAATAATTGAATAGCTATTCCTGCATATTCAATGACTGAAAGCTATATTCACTGTGCAAATTTTACATTGACAATTAGGGGGGTTAACTGTTTTGGTTAGTTTGTGTAATTCATGCTTCAGTAATTTATGTATTTATTTTTAGTCACAGTGTGTCTGGTTTATTAATAAAGCTTGTTTACGTTTTCAGAGTTTTGAGGGATATTTAGTGTATTCTGACCTACAGTATTCTCCGATTAGCTATTTCAGATGAATATGGGTTAAAACTTGCCTTTTTGGGTGTTAAATCATAGCACCCCTACAAACCTTAGTAATTCAAATTTTGTTCATTCATTCATTCATTTTCTTTTCGGCTTAGTCCCTTTATTAATCCGGGGTCGCCACAGAGAAATGAACTGCCAACTTATCCAGCAAGTTTTTACGCAGCAGATGCCCTTCCAGCTGCAACCCATCTCTGGGAAACATCCACACACAGTCATTCACACTCATACACTACGGACAATTTAGCCTACCCAGTTCACCTGTACCGCATGTCTTTGGACTGTGGGGGAAATCGGAGGAAACCCAAGTGAACACAGGGAGAAAATGCAAACTCCACACAGAAACGTCAACTGACACAGCCAAGGCTCGAACCAGCGACTTTCATGCTGTGAGGTGACAGCACTACCTATTGCACCACTGCGTCGCCAATCACATTTTGTGATTCCTTCAATTATTTCCCTTCCATTAGCTTTGGATCTGAAAGGGAATTTTGCAATTTACCTTTATAGGAGTTTTAAAGGTAAATGGCAAAAAAATATTAAAAAATAAATAAACTTTTGGACAAGCTTATTCCGTGTGCTAATGTTTTATTATGTGTAATCTAAACAATACATTTTTAAGAGAAGATTATTTTGCAAGCTGTATGTACAGTATATGGCTCTATATTTGAAGTTTTTTTTTATTTTTTGCTTTTTCATCTCAACAGCCGTTTGATTTCTGTTTTATATAGTTTAAATGTAAAACTGAGTGCTTGGTTTTGTTTTAGATCATTTTCCTATCCATTTGGGCAAAAATAGACTGAGAGAATGCCAGGAAATATTATTGCACCACAAATGGCTTTAATTTGTTAATAGCTGCTCTAACGGGTTTAATTTTCCCTCTTCAGTTGCATTAAGTAAAGCTGCTTCACTCTTAAAAGAGTCTAATTTTGGTCTGTATTGCAAAAGTAGCCAATTAAAAATATTGTTGCTTCTTCAAATTAGTAAATTGACCGCAAATGTGTGCGTGCTGCTAAATCCATTGTGATGCAGTTGCACATCCTTTTATGTGTTTTTTTTTTTCCATGGCCACTAGGAACACTGCAATGTCCAATAAATAGGGGAAGTTTCCCTGTATCCTAGTAATCTTTCAATTTATTACCATCTCAATGAAACTCACTGAGCCGCAAACAAAGTACTCAAGAGCATGATGTGGAGTCTTTATCTCAACAGGTTTTACAGTGTTTGATAAAGTGCAGAACCTGTACAGTCATGTGTTTGAACAGCGAGTGCAGTTTACAGTCATACCGGATGGTCATAAATGATGTGTCATTCATTTAAACAGCTATAGTCTATCTATCTATCTATCTATCTATCTATCTATCTATCTATCTATCTATCTATCTATCTATCTATCTATCTATCTATCTATCTATCTATCTATCTATCTATCTATCTATCTATCTATCTAATCTATCTATCTATCTATCTATCTATCTATCTATGAATAAATACATCTAATAAGGTTTAACACAAAAAAATCTACCCTGAAGTCATATGAGCCACTGTATTTTAAATACAAACAAAAATGAACAAAATAAACAAAACAAAAAATAACAGGAAAACTGCTTAAATTCATATTTTTTATTTGTATTACACATGACTCGATTTCTTTTCTGTGTATATTTCTTCTAATTTTGTTATTTTTGCTGTTAAACCACAAAGATAATCTGGAATTTACCAAACACACCAGCTGAATGACTTTAGTGTGTGTGTATATACACTGTATTTATGTGTGTGTATTTGTTTGTGTGTCTCTATGTGTGTGTAATGTTAGAACCAAAAATATTTTGAACCTTGTTTATCATTTACAGTTTTTCTCAGTCGCTTTGGTGCATTTCTCACACTATTCACATTTGCACAACAGTTAAAGCATTTCTCAATACAATTAGTCATTTGTGCACATAGTACTGTAGCAGTTTCTCATTTCTTCCAACAAATTGCAAGTGCTTTTGGACATGCATCAATTGCTTTCATACAACTCTCTGCTGTTTATAACATTATCATAAGCTTATGTCTTGTCAAAATTAACTAAACTTGTAAATTCTGAATAGTCATTCCATATAAAACTAATAGTCCTCATTTCATTACTTGAGTCATTACATACACAAATGTTGAACTAGTTGTCAAAATCTGTCTAGCAAATTTTATATAAAAAAGTATCTTTATTTTGCTGAAAATGTCTTTAAAATTAAACAATTTGATGAATGATTTACAGACCTGTGTGTGTCTTAGGTTCAGTTCCAATATGTACTGCAACATTGTAGACAGTTGTGCACAGCTCAACCCAAAGAAAGTTTATGTTTGTGGTAAATAAGGGTGTATTTATTCTTTTGCACAATGCTGTGAATAAATTAGGATTTTCAAGACCAAATGCAGTAAAAATGTGAAACATATATATTCAGTGTCTTGTACTCAGATACCTCACTAAATGCAGTCATGTCTAACTTTACTGTAGTTTTTAAATGGCTGTGCAAATAGTCTATAGTGCTGTTTTCAGGAAGTGTAACCAAAATCTGACTTTTTTGCATTGAAAATAATGTACAGAGTAAACATAATGAAAACATGACTAAGCCATATGACTATCTTGTTCATAAACGAAGGTGTTAGAACTTTTCATTTTGATGGTACTGACACTTAACTAAGAGTTTTCATTTTTGAGTGGAGTTTGCATGTTCTCCCTGTGTTCGCGTGGGTTCCCTCCAGTTTCCCCCACATTCCCAAGACATGCGCTACAGGTGAATTGGATACAATAAATTAGCCATAGGGTATGTGTATTTATGAAAGTGTATGGATGTTTCCCAGTATTGGGTTGCGGCTGGTAAGGCTTCTGCTGTGTAAAAACACATGCTGGTTAAGTTGCCGGTTCATTCCGCTGTGGCGACCGCTGATTACAGTTTTTCTCAGTCGCTTTGGTAGATTTCTAATGTTGAAATTCTTAAAACCACCGGTTCAATCTTCAGATCATTGTGTCACTTGTGCACATCAGAAAAGCAATTTCTAATTTCTCTGAACAAGTTGCAAATGCTTTTGTGCATCCATGCAAAAATTATGTACAATTCTCTGCTCTTTCCTATCAGTTGCTTATGTCATGTTAATCAAAATTAATTACTTTGGTCTCGGTTGAATAGTCTTACCCCAACAACATTTAATCATTTGCTCATGGCATAAGTCCTTGTGTTGACTTGATCTCTCCATGATTCATTTGATTGTTCACTGTTATTTTTATGTTGTTGAGTGTGACCTGTTACTGTCAACTGTCGGCTATTGCTGTACACCTAATTGCCCTTTGGGGACAATAAAGACATTCTAATCTAAAAAAAAAAAAATGTCTGAACAAGTTGTCATAATATGTTGTCATAATCAATTTTTCTATCCATTTTTGTTGAACTTTTTTTTCTAAATCTGTTTACAATTAGTAAATTTCTCCCAGGTGATTCTTGACTTTTTCTAATGAAGGTACTTTTGCAAGAAGATTCCTATGTTCACATTACTACTTTTGTTTTGCTTTTCTTTGTGTATTCAGTGCTGTCTTTTCCTTTCTGTATCACAATGGCTTGATCTGGCAACAAATTACAGTACAACCAGCAAAATAAATAAATAAATAAATAAATAAAATATATAAGTTATAGAGTTATATTGACAACATGACTAGATCCTATCCATACACAATGCCACAAGGACTTTTTAAATCTGATGGCACTGACATCATTGACACAGAAATTTAGTTTTGAGAGAAAGATTTTAAGCAATAATCTGGGTTTTGCTGGTAATCCATGGTGTTTTGCTCTTTGTAACGTTGTTTTGAGAAATGTGCTTACTGCTTTGGAACATTTTTCAGATCAAAATTGAAACTTTGCAAAGCGACTGAGGAAAACTGGAATAAAGGGAAAAGAAATTATGAATGAAATGAATGAAAAATAAACAACTGACCAATTAACTTACTGCAGGTTACCAGTTTTAAAACTTTTACTTTTTAAAATCTTTACTTTTTTACTTAATCCATTTACCAATATATGTATTAATCCAACTCCTTTAAGAATCACTATCCAAACAAACAGTTTATTTACTTATTTGTTTACTTACCCACTCACATAATGAACAGTTCATAGATTTTTCTTTAACTTTTGATTTAGGGATCTTTAACCCAAACCCGTTCATTTACGCACTGTCAAAACTACAGCAGAATCGCATCATCAACTCTGAGCGGCTGAGATTAAACCGAGCAGAGCGCAGAGTGGGCGGAGCCGAACACTCGAAACCACGCCCACCGCCAGACAGAACGCTTACACAGAAGCTGTCCATCACCCGCAGGCATTTGACTTACCTGAGAGTTGAAGCAGCGCACGTCTCTCCTCAAGAGACATCAGCGAAAGCTAAAGTGAACGGTCGCATAGGACATGAGAAATCAGGCAGTTCAATGCAGCACGACCCATAAAGAGGGATTATAGCAGCTCGTCATCGCTCTATCAACAACAGGTAAGGCACTTTTTCTGCAGTTTGAGATTTCTAACACTTTAGCTTGAGTCACAGTCACTTCTCAACGGAATGCAGAACATACAGTTATATGGCTGAAATGTTATTTTGAATGGTAATATCAAAGACGGTAAATAGTTAGGCTACTGGTAAATAGTGCGAATGGTCCATATTTAACAGAGCTATTAAGCTAATAATTAGTATTTATACGGTAACTAATTACCTTAAATGGCAACTAATTTAACGTTATTTATTTATCCGTTATTTATACTTTTATTTATATACTGATAGATAGATAGATAGATAGATAGATAGATAGATAGATAGATAGATAGATAGATAGATAGATAGATAGATAGATAGATAGATAGATAGATAGTGTTTTTTAACAAGCTGTGGCATTCTTTTTTATTCAGCATTTTAAATATGGGTCATCTACACTAAAGATTTTATATACAGTATTTAATGTTGTATTAAATAATATGTAATTTTCAATAAATGAATGTATTATTAAAGCATTTAGGTACTCTTTTCGTACTACAATCATACATATCTATAGATTCTCCTCTGATAATTTTTCATATTTATAATATGCTTAATTTAATACTCATATGACTTCAAAGTACATTTTTAGTCTATAATTCTTTGGTAACAATACTGTAATATATATATTATAATATATATATATATATATATATATATATATATATATATATATATATATATATATATATATATATATAGATAGATAGATAGATAGATAGATAGATAGATAGATAGATAGATAGATAGATACATAGATAGATAGATACATACATACATACATACATACATACATACATACATACATAATGTAATGTAATGTATAGCTTGACTTCAATATTTTTGATTTTGAAAGTAACCTCACATTGCCCAGAATCAGAGCAGAGCTTTGGAGCCTAATTATATTAGCGGTTGGAAAATGCTGATATAGGCGTTCATTATGTAATGAGCTTTGCATTGGTTTAATCCCTAGAATAAGAGAGCAGAACCGAATGGCTGTGAAAGTCTTCAGCATTGCAGTTTGCTAACGAGTGCCAGTGGTTTAATAATGGGTGACTTGTTGAGAATTCAGAGTTATATGTTAGTTGATGGTGTAATATTTGATCCTTTGTGAGCTGGAATGTTACTTAGGCAGAGATCTCATTGGAACAGAGAAACTTTCTCTGCTGTATTGATTTAAATATTGATTATTTGGAATATTGATCATTTTCCTAAACTGGGGCAGACATGTTTTACTCAATACTAATACAATAAAGGCATAGTTCACCCAAAACTGAAAAATCTATCATCTTTAATTTATCATTCACTTGTCAAAAATGAGATTTTTCTTCTGTTGAACACAAAATAAGATATTTAGAAAAATGCGGAAAGTGATTAACTGGATCAGTGACAAAGCCCCATCCTAAAGGGTGGCACAATATTATTAAGGAAATGATTCTCTTAGAATTACTTACCTTTGTCATTCATATGTCCACTGAGGCTTTTCATCAAGTCTGGATTCCTTACTTGGATTTTAGTGATGTTTCTTTAAGCTGCACTTTGATTTATGGTATGCCATAATTGAATTTGTGTATTTTATTTTTATATATTTTAATTTTTTTATTTACTTATTATTTATATATAATATTTATATAATGTATTTTATACATATTTTTTAGCATTGGAATTGTCTGGTGGTTTGTTTCAAAGTGTTTTATGATTAATAATTAAAATGTTCATTTTAAAAAATGCACAGTAGGACACGGTAGGAAAAAACAAATACTGTGGAAGTCAATGGTTACAGGTTTCTAACATTTTTTACAGTATGTTCTTTTGTGTTCAACAGGAAAAAAGGAACTACCCCTTTAAATGCACAATGTAAAAAGTGAAATAGTGAACTTTTGCTATGAGATTTAACCTTAATAATTTTTTGTAATGATTTTTGTATATATATTATAAATGATTTAATAATTCTAATATGAAATTATTTTAATTTAATATATTAACAAATACATATTTAGAGGAATTTAGTGATTAAAAAAAAACTTTAGCAGTTTTATTGCATAAATGTATTAAATATCAATGTATTATTATATTTATGTATTATTATATCTTTATTATCTATTTATATTTGTTTTTATATTCTGTAGTACTGAACTTAAACTGAAAAATCTATCATCGTTTATTTATTATTCACTTGTCACAAATCTGAGTTTCTTTATTCTGTTGTATAAAATAAAAGAAGATATTTAGAACAATGCTGAAAAAGACTTCCACAGTAGGAAAAACGAATACTGTGGAAGTCAATGGTAACAGGTTTCTAACATTTTTCAAAATATCTTCTTTTGTGTTCAGATTTAACCTTAATAACTCATTTTGTAATGATTTTTGTATATATTATAAGTTATTTAATAATGTTAATATGAAACTATTATTATTTAATATATTAACAAATAAATATTTAGAAGGATTCAGTGATTTTAAAAAAACTTTAGCCTTTTAGTGCATAAATGTAATAAATACATGTATTATTATAGTTATTTATTAATATATCTTTATTATCTATTTATATTTATCTTTATTTTCCGTAATCCTGAACTTAAACTGACATTTTGATTTTGTTTGTAGTCATCCATTGAATGAAACTAGTCTTAATTGTTCATCTTGACATGATCAGTAACCTGAGGTCAAACACAGTGCACAGTATAAACAGAAATCTGTGTTTTATGTCATTTAATGTATGTAATTAATAAAGAAATCAAATGCGTGTGATGTAGTGTTGTGAACTCACCGGAAGAGCCGACAATAGCTTCTTAACCTGATTAAAGGGAGATCTGCCACTTCCTAATAGGATATTCAGCTGATTGTATCAATGAGAAAGTTTCGCTGGCTATTAAAACCTCTGCTGTCTATTGTTTATTACAGCCATTATGGGGGAATGAAACTTAACATAAAAAAGAATCAAATGCAAAACCTGGACTGAAGTGATATGTTTGGGCAGTCAGTTGAACAATCAAAAGATGTAATAACTTACCACAGGCTTTTAAATAATCAACACTAGAGGTGGTGACGTGGGCACAGCAACAAGATTGATTAAGGGTCAGGTTTACTAACAGCTTAAGCCAGCACAAACTCTCATTTGCAGTTAAAAAGCTACTAGGGTTGTAACGATTCACTCAACTCCTTTTAATTAATTTTTTTTAACAATAGGAGAACAAGCATCATGACAATGTTGGAGAAAGTCCAGTATTTATAGAAATAGAAATAGTACTACAGAAATAGTACTACTCAGTTAAAATAGTGGGGTTAAAAATACCCCAACATCTATCCCGACTATAGGTTTTTATAGCACCTTCCCAACTATGGGTTATTTTAATCATTTATAAAATTTAACCCAATGCATTGGGTTATTTTTATTAACTGTTACTTTTTCTCATTCGGGTATTACTATTTGCTACTATTTCTAGTACTACTATTAATTTTATATATATGGCCGTGTAAATAAATAACCTGCAGCTTTCAAAAATACTAAAAATGCTTCATTTCCACTACATTTTAGGTTCCAGACACAACATTTTTATCCATTTAATGTAGATCGGCTATGAAGTGCAGGTTTGTATCATCAATGATTAAGAGTGCGGGTGAAACGGATAGAAAAAAACTTGACATGGAGAGGCAATTTGATAAAAAAAAAACAAAAAAAAACTTGAGCTTAAGCTTAAATAAACATTCAAATACAAAAACAACATTGCACATGCATATTAACATACAGCTGTTCTGTGTCAGTTGACTTGATATTCAACATTTTTATTATAGTTATTAAATAAATTACCCAATAGGTTAAAAAGGTTAAAAATAACCCAACAAAGCACCAAATATTTAACCCAACTGGTTGAGTAATTATTAAATAACCAAATAAATGTTGAAAATAGCCCAACAAGACATTAAATATTTTTAACTCAACGTTTTTTATAGTGCATATTTCAATATTTATGTATTGTGATATATATCATTATTATGATATGAAAGGATTTATAATATATCATGATATATGATTTGTGTCATATTTCCCAGCCCTTTTACTATTTCTGTGGCGGAAATTTCTTGACGTGTAAGAACCCTTAACATTTTAAAACAAAGCTTTATAAATAACACATGTTAAGATTCATATGAACAGCCTAATTATTTTATCCATATGACAAAATATTAACGGAAATATTGTGAAAATTTACTTGAACTGTATATTATTTCTCTAAATAAATGTTTGAAATATATATATTTTTTTTAAATCACCGGAGGGCTAAAATTTTTACTTCGAATGTGAATATAGGTAAAAAAAAAAACATTTTGACGATCATTCATAGTGGTCACAGTTCATACTGGCTGATAAATCAGTAAAATTGTAATCGTAATTTAGCAAACTTTACGATCGTCTTGCACATCTTGCTAAAGAAGCACAGTTCTGTAATAAATAGAAACCTTCAAAACACTGTAGAATGCCTATGCAGGTTGCTGAATAAACCGAAGATTTAACTGCTTACATTGATTCAACGTGACTAATAAACATAGATGTCATCACACAGAAGGATTGATTAAGGCTATGAAGTGAGCTTTGCGTGAAGAAGTGATCAAATTTGGCATTCTCACATGCTTTCAGATGTAGCAGCATTTACAACAAAAAGCTGTAGGTAACAGAGAACAGCTTTTGTTATCACAGATTAATTATATTCAAAGGCATTATCGTGCAACTACTAATTGCTACTAATTACAGAACCGGCTTCACTGACAAAATGCGCATGGCAATCAACTTCATGTAATTGTTCAGCCCTAATTCATTCACAAATTTGTTCAATGTAATTTCTACAAAAATTTGTGACTTTTCAAAAGCTTCAGCATTCACTTTGTACTGCATTACATTCAGCATCTCACAAAAGTCAAACGTTTGAGCTAAAATTTCATAAATAAAGACTTGTTGATTTGTA